ATGGATGGATGGATGGATGGATGGATGGATGGATGGATGGATGGATGGATAGAGCGAGCTTTTCTGTATAGCCTTTGAAAGAATCGAAGAGTAGAAAAAAATTGTGCTAGTATAATATGATCTTGACATTGCCTTTCTATGAGATGGGACCACTACACTTAATAAATTACTTTCTAATATTGCAACAGCAGCTGCATTGTTTCTAGTATTTTGCTTTTTCTAATATTGTATTCTCTGCTTATCTAGTCTAAAACCAGTGAATAATTGTAAGTCAATGTCATATAGTAAAATAAAATTGAATATAACCTTACTATTAAAAAGTAAATCATGCAAAGCTAAAGGTTTTCTGATATGCATAAACTTAAAAAAAGAACAAATATGAAGGACGTCAGCAAGATGTGTACAGTCAGAATACTGTAGCCATAAAAACTCTAGACTGAGTTTCCCAATACTTAAACATTCTTGATAGAACTTTAGGAGAGCTGAACTTGTAAAGGGGGCATAGAAGAAGGCATTTCTTTAATGAAGTTATATCTGCGACAAAAACATGGGCAGTACAGTAACTGAAAGAAAAAAGTATAATTTGACTCAACTAGAATCTTCCATAGGCTATTCAAGATTGTAAGAGAGTGAGTACAGTATGGTATTGTGAATGCAGTAAATTGGGCAACAACACAATTACTCTAGATATTTGACAGTAGACAAATTGCATATGACATATTACCTTATTTAATATAATTATTTCTAAATGATCTGGTTACCCAAATCTTTTTTATCAGTTGTGGTTCAGGTAGCAACATGCAAGGTCATGTGTTACCCATGTTTAAAAGACAGACCAGGATTGCCAAGCATTACCTTTGGTGCCTAACCAATTTTTCAGCTGAATTTTGAGATATTTATCTGAGTCAAAAGATTGATCTACCTTTCTGTCCTAATAATGGGAAGTTGCTCTCAATGTGGTTTTGAAATAAATAGATCTAAAATTAAGCTATTTCATTTTACAAAATTCCAGGTTTTTCATGCTGAAGATGTAATAGAGGAAACTGGCTTTGTTCTGGAGAAAGATTCTGAATATTGTCAGAAATTTTTGGAAGAAGAGGAGGAAATAACTGTAAATGTTACTAACAAAGGAGGAGGAATAATAAAATATCGGGTGAGATTTTATTTACACAGAAGAACAGAAGTCTTTTACAGAACTATTTACCAGTTCTGCTCAAGGAAGATGTCTCCTCCCCTTCTGATTTTGGGATTCTTCATTCTTTTACACCATGGCCCACTTTATTTAACAAAGGTTGCCAGCCTTCAGTAAAGGGAAGGGCAACTTTAGAAATTATCTGAGGATTGCTGGAAGAAGGGTGGTGATATTGTGATATCATAAGAAGAGGCAGTCATGAAATCTTGGCCTGTTTTGTTTCTTTGTATTATTTCTGGGGATGGGGAAGAGATTTATTACATTTATTTACAGTGGGGCAAAAAAGTATTTAGTCAGCCACCAATTGTGCAAGTTCTCCCACTTAAAAAGATGAG